GCATCTGAGATAATATATTCTTGTATTGATATATTCATCACTGTTTACTTATCTTCTAAATTTTTCTTTTTAAAAATTCTATTATATATATGATATAATATTAAATAAGTAAAGTAATCAATATTTTTATTACTATAGTTAAGAGATAAATTAGAAATCTTTTCCAATACTATTTTAATTATATATTTTCATTTTTCTTTTGGATCTTTAGGTAAGATAAAAATTAAAGGTTGAAATTTGTTAGATATATTTATATTGACTTTTATATTACTTATTTTAATTTCTAATAATTTTGACTATGCTAATAGAACTAATAAATTATTTAAGCTAAATAAATCTGATATATGTATATTCTTTTTTAAAATGTCAATTACTTTTGTCAAGAAAATTCAATCAAAAAATAAATTAAAAGATTCTATTTATTCTATATGATTGATCATAATAAATATCAATCAAATATTTGTATTATCATAAAATAAATTAGAAAAATATGAAAATTTTTATATATAATATAATTAAATGATCTATTATTATGACCAAATTTCTGATAATACCTGAAAATTAATTATATAATACAGATACTTAATCAACATATCACAAAATAAAATTAAAGATCATGGAACTTTTTATATATAATATAATTATATAATCTATTAATTATTATTACAAATTTCAAATCTAATTATCTAACTTATAATATATATATTTTTTTTATAAAAAGTTTTTTTATTATATATTGTATCATTTCAGTTCTATATTCTCTAAATTTATTATTTTTATATCTAAATGAGATCAGAAATAAACAGAAAGAGTATTTTAAAAGAACAGTATATTTGCATTATAATTATTTATTTAATTTTTTACTTGTAATATAACAAAGCTTTTATTACTTTGAACTTGACTAATCAATATATTTGCTAATTTATAAATCAAAATTCATAATTTTTTAATTAATATTAAAGAGTACTATATAAATATTATGTCTATTATTCATTAAGATTTAGAAAAAAATCTCTGGATTCTGTAAAATAAGTTAAGAATGATTATAAATCAAGTCATTAATTATATTAGTAATTTGTATTCAGATAGATCTTTGTATTAACAAAAGTTTTTTAGAATTTATTCACAGATTAATTATTAATTTTTTTTACAAAATTATTTTATTATATGATGATATTATGTGATTAACTATTAAATTTACATACTAAAAGTAGCTTAATTATTCTATTAACCCACTCTTAATAAATACTTACTTAATAATAAAGGAATATTTAAGCTATAGACTGTTATATAGTAATATAGTTTATTATTAACTTATTGATAAGAAAAATTTATTACCTGTATAAAGGATAATAGAATTATATTATTATATAGAAAATTAATATTATATAAAGTTTTATTAATATAATAGTCATACAAAAATAATAACTTTATATATATACTAATAATATATATATTTTTTTAATAATAAGTTTTTTATTACTAAAAACTAATATATATTTATTTTTTAATTTAAAGATATTTTTGAGAGAGGTTTCATATTGTATAATCTTGAAGTTATTAAAATAAATAAAAAAAAGTCACTTAGCTTAAACTAAATTAAAAATAATATGAATAAGCTTTAAAGAAAACTTAAAAGAGATATAATTATCCTATATTAGTATTTATATTTTGATATAAGAGCAATATCTATTAAGATATTATTTTGAAAAGATTTTATAGCCAGTCAAGTTATTAGTAATAAATTAAAGCTTATAAAGGAATTACTAGAAAATTTAAGAAAAGGATTTATAATAAAGAATTATATATATATTTAATTATGTTACCTTTGTTAACACTATTAATAATATATTATTTATATTAGAAACTTATTCATAAAATAACATCCACACTCATATTAATGGTTCAAGAAATATGTAAAGAATTTGTACTAGATTTTAAGAGATATGAAATTAAAATAAAATTAGTCAAATTAATATATAATAGAACTTGAAAAGAATTAAAAGAAGATATTAAATATATAATTAAAGAAATTCTTAATATTTTGAAAGATATTTGAAATAACTCAGTATTCAATTCTGAACTTGTAAAGATATTAAATAAGTAGATATATCAATCAACTATCATTATATTTATTATTTGAGCTTTATTAAAAAATCTTCTCATTAGAGATGCTTTTTTTATTAGTATATCAAAAAAGTAAAGTATTACAAGTACTAATAGAAAGAAAGAAGATTATATAGGAAGATATTTAAATATTATGCTTGTAGTAAAATATCTAAAGATAATTTTTGAATTAATGTACATAGAATACTCTTGTTTAATTTCTAGTCTACAAAAAAAGATTGATGATGAGATTAAGTTATAGCAAGAAACTAATGATGAATTATATTAAATATATCAAAGTCTTAAATCAAATAAAAATCAATTTGGTATTATAGATATATAAGTAGCAGATAATGTATTATACTTGAATTTTTTAGTATGAGATATGATTAATATTTACTAATATTATTATTTATAATCTGCTAAAATTCTTATATAATTTTCAGATAAAGTCATTGTAATTAAATTTATAAAAACTTTATTACTTTTATGTAATATAATAATTACTAATTTATCTTTACTATATCATATATCTATTGTCATATTACAAAGGCAAATAAAAGATAGTATTATAATTTTTACTCTATAAAATGATAACTAAACTTTATTATATATACTTTTTATATCTTATATTTTATATTTATCTTAATAAAAATGATCCTGAAAATTGAATTATTATATAATTTTGTATAATATATTAATTAAGTTTTTCAATATTATATATTATTTATTAGATATATGATTAAATATAGTTATATACTGAAAAATTAAATCATAATATTTGTAGTATATTCAAAAATAGATTTAACATCTAAAATAGATTATATAATAATTATCTCAGATATAAAATGACATATTATCAATTACCTCATTTTGATTGGATAATTATCTAATATCTCTAATTATCATAAATTAAATAAAGATTTTTATATATAATCATAATTATTTTTTGTATTAATTAAATATATTTTTATTTTATAAAAAATAGAATTATTAAGAAAACTAAATTCTAAACTTTTATCTGATATTGATAAACTTAAAAAGAAGAATGATAATATTATAGCTAAGAATATCAAATTTAAAGCTAAGAATATAAAATTAAAATAATTTTTAGAAGAGCATGAATTCAAATTTATAAAACTAAAACAGAATGATAAAAATACTGCTTTAGAAAATAATAAATTTAAAACTAAAGTTATGAAATTGGAATAGAAACAGTTATAAATCAATAAAAAAAAGAGTAATTATATTATATTATGAAGTAATGACTATGTCAGCTCTACTAATATTTCTATATCTAAATTGGATGATATCATCTCTATTGAAATGAAAAATTCTAATGATACTCTCGAATAAATAAACTTATATTATAATAATACTTCAAATTTTGATATATGTTAGGAGTTTTTATTCTAATATTTTATATAATCTGTCTATATAGAGAGTAAGTTATTGAAAAACAAGGAAATAAATGAATTTATAGATTTAATATATAAGGAATAGATTAGTAAAAAGATAATTTAAAAAATTAGGAAGAAGAAATTTTAAGATCAAGAATTACTCTTAATTTCTAAAAATAATACTCTTAATATTTTACATGAATAAGATTTAATACAAAAAATATTATTATCTATCAAAGATCCAAATTGTAATGATTCTAAAATTTTAGCAAATAATATTCATTTAAATTGTGATAATTCTGAAATAATCTAAGACTTTGAGATACAGGATATTATTCATATCAAAATGTATGTATTACAAAAAAAAATATAATTAAAGCTAATCAAAATGAAATATTATATTAATGTTTGTATGCTAAAAGATTCAAAGGCATGGTTAAAGATTTTATGAATAATAATAAAATTAGGAAGAAAAAAGCAAAGAGTCAATTATACAATTTTATTATCAAGCAAGTTTCTGATATTAAGTATAGAAATTTATATAAGCAAATATAAAAGACTTTAAAAATTTACAATTTATTCAAAAAAATTGGAATAAATAAAATTCAATATATCAAAATCTATAGCACAGATACTATTTCAAGATTTACTAATTTACAGATTCAGACTATTATTGATCATTTTGCTAAAAAATCTGACATAAAATATATCAGTAATCAGAATGATTCAGATAACTTACCTGAAATTGAGATAACTATACTTACTGAATTGATTCCTTTAGATCCAAAGGGCCATTGCTCTGCAATAAATTCTCAAGAAAATAATCAAGATGAGTCAAAGGTTCAAAACTCTGCTTTCTTGAAATTACCAGAAGCTGAAGTAAGTATATTACAGATAAATATATCTAACCATCTTGTGATCATCTCTAATAATAAATCTCGATCTCCTATCTCTATTTTACCTGATGACCCAAAACATGTTATCAAAATGGTATTGGAGCATTTTTCTCATTTATCTTTAAAATATAGTAATGAATATGATGATTACTTTACTTGTTCAAAGATATGTTCCATATGCAATAAAGATCATAAAAAAGAAAATATAAGAGATAATGTAAAAGGTGAATGGGGTAGTGGGGATTATGTTATACAAAAACTTATCGTATCAAATGCTGGGAGGCTTTTCAAAATTCAATCCAAATAGTAACGGTGAAAGCATAGGCTACTGATTTCGAATATTAATGTCACCTGAAGGCGTAGTCAAAAAAAAACAAACTTTACTAGTTCTTGACCAGCAATTACTAGCTTAGAAACTTACATTTTTTCTCCGACAGGATGATGCAGAGAGAGAAATATATTAATCTTATCATATAAGTCAAAATAACATTTCTTTTAACGTATGGTTTGGGTGACATGATAAAACTGGAATATTAAAGAAAAATACTAATTATAATTCTATGTAACAATTTTTTGGGTTTTTATTGGTTGTCCTATCCTATAAGTCCTGTAACCGTCGTCGTTTGTTCTGTAGCAAATATATTTCCTATGGAAACTGAACCAATGAAAGAAAATACACAAGTATCCGAGTTTTAGCCTTTCTCCTTAATTACGTTTGTAATCAACTTCACTTTTTTTATTATACTTACAGTCCTGTTTGAACATGCTAGAGTCGTGTCGATAGCATTTAATGAAACTTGAACCATAAAGTTTTCAGATAAAGCTGGCATCGTAAGGGTTTCAAAAAAATCAAATGGATCTTCAGCTTCGAGTAGTTTTGCTGGTACTACGGGACTGCTGTCATGGGTCTCGAGGGTATCTGTAGATACAATAATATCAAGATTGAATGTTCTTGGAGGATCAATAAGGAAATGTCCAGCAACTTCGAACGTAGCATTGGCATTCGAAATTAGGGGATTGGGTGTAAAAGATACGCTGAGTTCTTGGGGTATACGTGGGTCACATGAAACAAAGCCATCATTTTCAAAGCCGTCATCACGTCGATATGGAAAAGCATTAATATTAACGACGTAAAGTGTTGCCAAGAACATGAATAGAAAAATGGAAATTTGCTTCATAGTAGCGTTTTATACAAATGTCTGTTATTTCTCAGCATCAAGAAACCTTGGGCTTTTTATAATTGCTCGTTTCTCAAGGGTATAAACTTGACGATTTGGCAGTTTTTATTCAAAACGGTTCGGGCTGGACCGAATAATAAAATTAACGTCGAGAGATTATATTTTTTAATAACGGAGACTGTATTTTCTTTAATTTAATGCAGTTTAGAAGGTTATATTATTAAGCTTTTCCGATGCAGATCTTTTTTTGAAGCCAGTAAGAACTAAACCCGCGTGAGATTATTTTTTTAATAACGGAGATTTAATTTGATGCAGTTTAGAAGGTTATATTATTAAGCTTTTCCACCCGCGTGAGATTATATTTTTTAATAACGGAGATTTAATTTGATGCAGTTTAGAAGGTTATATTATTAAGCTTTTCCACCCGCGTGAGATTATATTTTTTAATAACGGAGATTTAATTTGATGCAGTTTAGAAGGTTATATTATTAAGCTTTTCCGATGCAGATCTTTTTTTGAAGCCAGTAAGAACTAAACCCGCG